TTTCAAAAAGAACTGTTTGCATGTTTTATTTTGGTAAAACTATGACATATTTGTTCTAAGTACAAGGGCTGCATGATGTTGAAATCAAGAAATCTAATTGCAATTTTGTCAGGTGTTATTTAGGAAATTACAAATCTAGAGATTCAGTTCACAGTGCAAGATTTAATTACATTCAGCATTAGCATTTGTCAGAGGACAGCTAATTAAACTGCAAAACTAATACAAACCTGCCATACACTTCATAGATTTTATTACAGGATTTTTTGTTTTGCTTACAGACATTATACAACACTGACTAAAGTATTATCTTTTACTGTTTTTACAGGTGTTTTATGTGTGGTTTGATGCACCTATTGGGTATCTGTCGATTACTGCCAATTACACCGACCAATGGGAGAAGTGGTGGAAAAATCCTCAACAGGTAACAACATTTCACTCCAGCCCTTGATGTCAAAAAACACTTAATGTGCAGAACATTTATTTACTTTACAGGGAGAGTAGGATTAAAGGTGTCACCCAGTAGGTGACCAATACCATGTAAACAAGATATCTAACCACAGGCTAACTTACAACCCCCATCATTGGTTAGGCATCAAAAGATGATTATTTAAAACTCCCATATTTTTTGAGGGACATAACCTATTAAGAGTTTTAGATTGTTTTACTCTCACTTATTCATTCCTCTCAGTCTAAAGCTTTGGCCTGAGTATGTGCTTGTGTCTGTGTCTGTGTGTGTTTGTGTGAGAGAGAGAGATGACCAGCAGAGAGGTGGGGTTGGGGAAGAGCTGATAAGTCCTCTTTGAACTGGATGATCTCATGATGATCTAATATGATGTCACCCTAGAGTTGCAGTGTTGCTTCTTTGCCACCAGGTGGAGTTGTACAACTTCATGGCCAAAGACAACGTTCCCTTCCATAGCGTTGTCTTTCCCTGCTCCCTACTGGGAGCCCAGGACAACTACACTCTGGTCAGTCACCTTGTGGCCACAGGTAACCTTTTTCTTTTTAAACTCACATGGCACCTTTGATCTATAAATAAAGGCTGAAACTTGCTTCCAGAGTATTTGAACTATGAGGACACCAAGTTCTCCAAAAGCCGTGGTGTTGGTGTATTTGGGGACATGGCCAAAGACACAGGGATTCCATCTGACGTGTGGCGCTTCTACCTACTCTATGTGCGTCCGGAGGGGCAGGACTCAGCCTTCTCCTGGGCAGATATGGCTATGAAGAACAACTCTGAGCTGCTCAACAACCTGGGCAACTTTATCAATAGGTTTGTCACAATAATATTAGTATTAGTATTTTGTTGTCAGGTTGAATTTACTTTTAGTCTGATTAAAAAAAAAAAAAAAAAGTCAGCTATCACAGGGATTGTATCTTTTTTTTAATAATTTCATTTTTCTTTCCTTTTTTTTTTCTTTTTTTTCTGTAAAGGAGTAAAACTCACAAAGTCTGCCTGCATCATATTTAAAATAAGCCTTCATTATGTAACAAGTTAGTCGATTCAACTCTGAAAGTTGAGAGACTATTACGAGAGTCTCACCCTAGTTTCCTAAATTTGTTTGGGATGGTGTAATTTAGCCTCAATTAAATTGCCTAAAATAATTTTTAAAGATCGGGGATAAATCCTGCATCAAAGATTTTTCTCAGTAGCATTCCACTGGAGTACCTTGATCTTCCAGTTGGTCTCCGGCAGCTGATGCCTAATTGGCTCAAAAATATCTGGTAGATTGCATAAGGTCTAAGGTGGCAGAGGTAGAAAATATTCAGCTTCAGAAAATAAATTGTCCTTGCCTGGATCCAGTCCCTGCGTCTATCAATCCCCCATACCAGCCAACTTGTGGAAGTTTGGAATGGAATTAGTCAAATGTGGAGGAGGCAACTTTACTAATCAAATACAAAAAAATCATATAGTCAGGGAAAGTTGGTATGCATAAAGATGCCTGTTTTTTAGTTGACGCTATACTAAGCATTCTGTTTGGATAGCCCCTCCTCAGGGGCATCGGGATGTGTAGACTACAGTGTGCTATGTTTCATCATACATGACAAAAATGGAGCATGCCATGAACAGCCTTTTTTGTTGCACACAAAACTTGCTTCAACTATTATTTAGATGGAATATGAAAGCTGTGGGAGAGTGACTGCAGCAGTGTTGTTCACAGTGTGTATTACACAAACGGTAGATCTGCAATCAACTCACTTAAATCTCTTAAGGTCTTCTTGATTTACAGTTACAATGTTATGTAGTGTATTTTTGATTATTTATATTTCCCTCCACTCTTTCCCCTCTTTCATCACCCAGAGCTGGTATGTTTGTCACAAAGTTCTTTGAGGGCTGTGTTCCTGTGATGGACCTTCAGCCAGAGGATAAGAGAGTCCTCGCTCTGGTGGGCTGGGAGCTGCAACAGTACATTCAGCTCATGGACAAAGTCAAGTAAGTAATTTCTCTATGTATCGATGTAATGTATCTTAGCAAATACTAGTACTTTATGACTACTATGCATCATCTGTTCAGTTTTATCATACAATTATTTAAATTTCCTTTTCTGCTAATTTTATATATTTTGTCTCTAGACTACGTGATGCTCTCAAGCACATATTGAATATCTCTCGGCATGGCAACCAGTACATACAAGTAAATGAACCTTGGAAAAAGATTAAGGGAGGAGACAGTGAAAGGTACAATTGATTTAAAAAAAATCTCTTTTTAGGAGCAGCATTTGATTACAAATGTAATATTTATCTCAGCCTTGCACTTTATATTCATTTCCTAGTGCAATAATGCTATCTTGCAGCCCTGTGTCAGTTTAAAGATCCTGAAGCTATAAATACATACGGTAATTTAATTTGGTTTAATTGTAGTCCTGTTTAAGTCAAATTAACTTTTATAAGTCAAAGCAGAATACATCCCATGTCACTATTTAATGTGTATCTACAGATTATTATTATGTTTAATTAAATATATGATGGGAGCCTTAAGTTTGTGTCTTTATTTTTAAGGCAACGTGCTGGCACAGTTACTGGTGTGTCTGTCAACATCTCCTGCTTGCTGTCAGTGATGCTTTTGCCATACATGCCAACTGTCAGCCAAACCATCCGGGATCAGCTCAACGCCCCTCCATCCTGCATCAGTTCCATGTTGCAAGGCTCTGGCACCTTTGTGTGTGCCCTGAACGCAGGCCACCGCATTGGCACAGTGAGTACACGGACAGGCCCCGCACATCCAGCCCACACCTGTAGAACCTCCACCATGTTGACGAAGGGTGATACAATGAGGATGCAACAGTATGTCAGTGTTTTCCTGCTCAAGACACTGGATTTGTATAAGCGCACACATGCACAGACTTAATAGCCTAGAGGCTGTTTCCAGGCCTCTGTCATTGGTCAGGTTTCTCTCGGGCCACTTGTCCCTTTTGGCCTTCTTGTAATGGCCAGCACAGTGTTGGTCCTGATTCCGATTGAGAGCTCGTAACGCGGCGTTATACTGTTAATGTTCATACTTAGTCTTAATCTTTGTTAGATATAACAAGTTATAAAAAATTCTGATGATGATGAAATTTGATTCAGCAACCAGTTTTTCTTTTTTAAGCTATACTGAAAGTGTTTTTAAAGGTTTTGTTTTTAAACAAACATGAATGTAATTTTTATGGTATTTACATAACAATTTTATTTGTATTCCTTAGGTCAGTCCGTTGTTCCAGAAACTGGAGGCCGAACATATTGAGACTTTAAAGAAGAAATTTGGTGGACAGCAGGTATTTAATGAAATTTCTTTCCTTGTTAGAAATGGTGTGCAAACGTTAACTTTAGTTGTAAACCAAATCAATCATAAGTTAAATTAAATACAAATACAAACAGTATTTTTAAACTTGTTCTTAACCACCTGTCTATAGGAAGATGAACCACCAAAGATACAGGTATTGCGTGGCATTTGTGCACTTCACATCGCTGACATTCTGCCGATGTTTAATACTCTTTTCTTAACAAAGTCTATAACATGTTCAGTTTTTTACATATTGTGTTGCGATGTTTTTGCATGATTTGTGACTCTCAAATTAATTATCTAATTTGTTATGAGTGATGCCATTATATCTTAGATGAAGTTTTGCTGCTATTTACAGAAAAATTTGTATTTTTGTCAGCCCAAATCCACAGCTTCAAGTGCTGCCAGCCCTCAGCCTGCTGTGGTTCCCGCTCCAGCCACTGAGGCAATTGTGGCGGGCGGAGTGGACCCCGAGAAAGCCAAGCTGCTCACACAGGCAGTGGCTGAGCAGGTATGAATCTCAAAAAAAAAAACCTTAGTTATAAATATTTTTTAAATATGAAATAAATGTAAATTGTCGGTCCATGTTTTGTTGTTATTACTGAATAATATGTTTTCTTTTTGTACAGGGGGAGAAGGTGCGAGCGTTAAAAACTCAAAAAGCGGATAAGGCTGTGATCACTGCAGAGGTGGCCAAATTGTTGGATCTGAAGAAACAGCTGGCAGCGGCTGAGGGAAAGAGCCCTGAACCTGCACCACAGAAGAAGAAGAAATGAGACAGAGGAGGAGTGTGGAGGTTAGTCAGGGAAGAGAGGTTTGAGGTATTATACAGGAGAATGGGAACAAGCTGACACTAAGAGATGAGGGTATTAGCTTGAGGCAAAGCCGTAACAGGATCTAAGACAATGTGCTACTGGCACCGAGGACTAATGAAATGCTGGATAGGCCGACAGGGAAATGAAAACATACAAAGACAGAGTCAAATGAATACAGCTACAGAATGGAGGGATTTCAACAAATCCTTCCACCAGAAGAAACTGATTTTATACTCTTCCTCCAATGGTTTGTATGCACTATTAGCATTGTGAGCTGTGTTGTGCGTTCAAAGGTGTTTTTATATCATCTGAAAACATGTTTTGATTTTTGCTACAAATGCGCTTAATAAATTCTGCCTAAATCACTTATATATTTTTCAGAATAATCATGAACCCTCAAACTATGAATAATACACATTAGATCTGATCTTTTGTTTTACTTTTATTGTAAAATTGAGATTACAGGAAGTTACAAAATAATCAGTATGGGGAAATACATGTTATGCCATAAATGATACGCGCCATGCACAATATTCTACATTTTGCAATTTACAACAAGAAAATACCAGTGAATATATGTCAGAACATGACAGTTAAAGCCATTACAGTACATATATGATACAGCATTATATAAAAATAGTAAATAATTGCTGAGTTACACAATTGTGATCTATTTCAAAAATCCAGTATTGATAGAAAAGGTCAGCTTAGAAAGTTTAGCCAGTCTCTACTGCTTTACCTAAGACACGACACAAAGCTATAGATTAAAAAAGTAAGAAAAGGTACAATTTCTCCAAAAAGTTATCCTTACATACTCGCACTGTTCTGGGCACTTTTAAGGATTACCTGAGCTATATAAAATCTGCAAATTGGGACAGATAATCTCTAATAGCCAGCTTGCAGCCCTTTAGATCGAAGGGGTAATGTGTTGCAAAATGGTGGGAAAAGGCTTATAACATAGTTTTCTCTGAAGTACACTCCCTTTTGTCCTTTGTCCTACTTAAGTAAATGACAAACTGTTCTTCAACAGTTGCATTCAATCGGACATATGACAAGCATTCTTACTCCTGACATTCACAAAACACTCAATAAGTAGCACTTGGATCCATGTGTTCTTCCTTTCCTTAATACATGCTGTGTCTTTATTTGCCGCATTGCTGTTGCAGCCTTTTCTCTCACTGCCCTCCTGTCCTAGACTTTCATCATTCTTTTTCTTCTGGTCTTCTTCCTCGTCCAAAATTCAGCATCCCAAAAACATCTTTGGTTTCCTTTTTTACAACATAGGACTTTCACCTTATTTTCATATCAAACCTTTTCCCACCAATTCCAATTTAAACTTTGTTGACTGCTGCTTCATTTCCTGGTGTTGACTAGTCTTTCAATCAGGGCTCGACGCGTCCTCTGTACCTCCTCGCCAAGCCTCTCGATCTCTGCTTTCAAACGCTCATTCTGCTCCGTCAGCTCCTGGACTTTCCTCTCGTTTTCCTGCTCCCGCTCCTTGCGACTCTTTTTGGCTGATGAGTAAGATGAAGATGTTCTTGGTGTGGTCAATGCAAAAGGGGACAAGGCACCATTGGCCCTCTCGCTGCAGCTCCTCTTGCGTTTTCCCAGACGGGAGGACTGATACACAGATGGAGAGGACACAGGTGAGGAGGGTGAAGAACAGTTTTGTGATGGCGACTGCGAGGCTGAGGAGGAACAGGAGGGTGAATCTGGGACACAGGGCAGCTCCTCCTCACTAGCTGAAGGGGACCCTGGATGGGCATGAGTGGTCTGGTGGTGGTGGTAGTAATAGCCCTCTCCGATTTGATCCACCAGCCCTCCATCACTCAGCAATGCAAAAAACTCAGGAGGCAGCAGGTCACTGCCCCCTCCTGTAGAGCTGTCTCCACTTCTGCCTCTCTCCCCCTCGCCCCTCCACTCCTCTGCCACAGCTGGACTCATGCACGAAGAGGAGGACGAAGATGAGGAAGAAGAAGTGTGATGAAGAGCCTGGATCTCTGTTGCCCTCTGGACACCTTCACTCCATGTCTGACTTCCGTCCGACAGCCATGTCAGAGAACAACTCTCCAGGACGTCCAGAAATTCTGGCTCTTTCTACAAATCAAAATGAAATGTCAATAGTTGTCAAAACCTGGCAAAAGTGAGGAATAAGTCAGGTTTAAAATATTTATAGCTAGTGCAAATATGAAAAGTTACAAACTGGTACATCCAAACACAAAGTAAGTAAAGTACTCTGTGACTGGGCGTAAAGGCTACTGACCTCTGTACAGGTGGGTGCACGTGCCACTTTGGCCCCTCCTGTGTCAGAGCCCAGAATGTCCTGCAGGTCCTCATACCACGCCTCCAACTCTGCACCACACAGCGGCCCCACACCAGGGGGGTACGGCGGGGGCAGGTGTAGCCACTCGGCAGTCATGATGCCAGTCACTCACAAAGCACAGAATCCTGGCTACACAGTTCACACTGGACCTGTGGATAGACACGTGAGGATGTGAGCCAAAGGCAGCAGCAGAAGTGTGAAATACATCGTCATGTCTGTCACTCAAAGCTCTCAAGTCAACATTTATATTAAAAGTAAAAAACACTCCCAAAAAAAAGTCCAGTGCAAATTATCTGATAGTGTTATTAAACAATTGGTCATGCTGTCAGAATTTTCATGTCAGTTTGACTATTATGACATGATCAGCTGCATGCAGAAATCTAAAATCATTAACTTTAGTTAAAAAGGTATACATGAATATATCTAATGTGTGAATGCCTTAAATGTTTATTAATACCATCAAATTAACATGACTATTAAACTTTGAATCATAACCTGCGATGAAAAGTGCAATTACCTTGTCACTCTTGATCAAGTTAGCCAATTAGTTGGAGATAGCTTGTCCCAACAATTCTGGAAAAAAATAAAAATAGTAAACAATTAATTAGTCCCTAACACATTTTCAGAAAACTGAAATCTGCTGAGATGCCATTATGAAAATGATGATTTGCACAAATACAGACACCTGCTCCAGACAAAAGGACTCATTAAACCTACTTTTTTATTTTAGCGTTTTAAATAATGTTATATTTTTAATGTTGATATAAATGTAACAGAATAGTAAAATGAACAATACGATAGGTGTTACTTAATTCCTGTAAACAAAGACCTAAGCGTTCTCTACGGCGCCCCCTGCTTCTCACATTCTTAAAAACACCATGGCTCTGATAAACAAGTGGCCGACAAAAAGATAAGAGGAAAAAATCCTATCAATACATACTCGAGAGCTGACACTTCTGCTCAGTTTTGGTTAACAATTAAAACTGTATTAATTGTTCTTCTCTTTGTTCCTAAAGTAAGCCAACCCGTAAAAGAGGGCCGCTATTTTTCAATTGGCTAGAATGAAATTTAGTCCCACTATATAACACTGTCTACATTTCTTTATAGTCCGCCTTGGAAACTGGAACTAGTGTGGTTGGTTGTGGGTGCGCGTTGGGGAAACTGTAAAAGTTAGATGTTTTAGAAGAAATTATGTTTATTTGAAATTAAAGGAAGCACGATTTTTTTTTTTTTTTTTTTTTTTTTTTTTAATGGCTTTGGTTAAGCTTGAGTCTTGTCCACTGTACGCCAGCACAATTACGTCATGGAAATCAAAGTTCCAGCAGAAGAATGGGCGAAACAAAAGGAAGCGCGTCCAGAAAGAAAAACACTGAGAACTCCAAATAGTTATGTCACTCACACTTTTGGTTTTAAGTCAAAAACATGACGACAATCCGCAAAGCAACCACGTAAAGGACTTGTGAATGTATGTCGCTTTCTAGTCTTGTCTACTGGTTAGTTCAATAAATGATTTGTCATTTTTAAAACTTAATTACCAAATCAGTTGGTACTTTGAAAATGAAATTGTGAATTCAAGACAGGTTTAATAAATTTTAAAAACAGTAGTTGAGTAGGTCCCTTCAAACTTTCTCCTTAGTCCATGCGCTTCCGTGGACAGATCCGACAGCTCCATTTACAACAAACTATAGCCTAACAAGTCAATGTAGAGTGATCGAGACAGCTGTTATTCTAAAAACAGATTTGGGAATTCTGCCAAAAGTGCCAACATTGTTTTCCCCTTTAAAGTCCAGCAGGCTCTTGAACTATGCCATAAGTTTTCTGGATAATAACATAAACTCAATAAAAAGCGTTACAAGCTTACTTACCCTTTTTCTTCTATTCGCTCGTCTCCTCGACTGTCTTGAACACGAATGTGGTTGTTTTAGTAAAAATTGGTGATAGCTCATGTTAACCATTGTTCAGTCTTGACAGCTGAATGTGGCTTTTCGGAAACTCCCGGCGGTGTTTATATTGAGAGCGCAGCCAACCAAACTTGACAAGGGAAGGCTCTTCGTAAACAACCAAGCCTTGAGTCGATGGATGAAGTCTCAAATGTTCAATCACAGAAGCGGACTTTAGATCTTCTCCTTGACGACAACCAATAGAATGACCAGAAGCGTGCTCAGGGTGGGACTTGCAGACACCAACTGGTTGCTTCTTCCCTCGCCCGTATAGTTTGTACGAGGAGCAATTGTGATGCAGTCATAAGACGGCCAGGACGAATTTGGGGCGTATGGGAGTCACATGAAAGGAATGATGCAATGCTTGGCAACCAATTTCTAGCTGGGGATAACACCAGCAGAATCAGAACATGTTTTATTAAACAGTGTTGGCTCTAACAAAAATCTAAAAATATACACATATGCAAGGATATCTAATGTCGAAGAATTGTTTGTTTACGCAACAAAACACTTTAATCAAAAAAAAAAAAAAAAAAAAAGTAAAAAAAATATATATATATTGACAGCAGTCAAAGATGCGCAAAATATTTCTAAAGCCTGTCCGTGTCTATTTAATTGACCACACAAATTCTATTAATCAATGAATTAAACGTATTACATTTTTGTCGCAATATGGTCGTGGATTCCGTTTATTATTGCAAGCTACAAAACCGAATATGTAACTCACGACCGACACATTTATCGAAATAATGAGGAACTGTGACTTCAATTCGCCTGGGACGTAGTTAATGAATGGTTAAGTAAAGCACACGCGGACAATAGTGTCATATTCATAGCCTCATTCATTTGACTCGCGCGCTCCATCATAACACGCCCGGCTGGAGGAGCGTCTGAGGCGCGCGCAGCCGCTCCATGCGTCTCTAATTTTATTTGTCCGTCTGCTCTGAAACTCTTATTAACCACGTTTGACACCTGTTTTGTCTGATACTGATGACTCTAAGTAACTTATGAACCCTTACAAACAATTGTCTAATTTAAACAAAAATCACAGAGGTTACAGTGGTTCATTTAGCCTAAAATACTGAATGTGGTTAATATTTGTTGATTATACAGTGTATGTAGTAACCTACATGGTCTGTCTTGGAAGTCAAATTAAGTTATTTTCCCCCATGGGTGCATTCATTCGCTTAGCTAATAATACAGGAAAACACACTTGTTTTTTTCTGAACTCAGCCAACAAGAACAACTGTAAAATCCCTAGAAAGGAAAAGGACAACAAATAAGTATGGAGTAACTTTAACAGTAGAAAAAGTCCACATTCCTATACACAAGTTGGTTGTAGTTTTTGATTCAGTGGTCCGTCCCATTTATTATATCACATCATGTATTAATAGTAGCCTATCAACAGTCGATATTGTTTCCAAGCAGACTTCCCAAGTTCAACGAGGTCAAATGTTTCAGTCACTCAGAGCTAAGTTGATAGTGCGTGGCCACCCAATGTAAACAACATCTGGTGGGCTACGGTAGTCTACCAGCAACAACAGTGTCAACAAACACAACCGCGTTTCATCATGGCGTGGTCTGGACGCGTCTCCGGTCCGCGACACTTTCCCTGCCCTAATCCCAAACTCAGCACACAAGTGTTTTCCGTGCGTGGCCCCACGTGCACGCAGCCCCATAGCAACAGCGCCAAGTAGCGAATAGAAAGCTCAAATACTGTCTCTAGGACCCGGGTTAAAGCGCTGCAGGAAGCACCGTGAACACGTCACTACTTGAGTGGCTGTTGCTGAGTCTGGTTGAGCATACTTTCACTGCCCCCCCGTCCGTCCCCACCCTCCACCTCACTCCACCCTCTCCATCCCGCCGTCTGTTTGTTTTGTCAGTCTCGTCGTCTGTGTTGTGTTCATTAGAAAACATTGTTTACAACCCCATACCCAGAGAGCCTCTTTGAGAAAATCAGCATGGTGTAGGCCTAGTGTTGATGATATTGTTTTGTTGTTGTGTAATTATATATATATATATATATATATATATATATATATATATATATATATATATATATATATATATATATAAATTGCACATTTTTTTCAACTATGACATCAATATACATCAATAAGTCAATAATATGAAGTCAAATCATAGATAATAACACATAATAGTTATAATAATAGTTAGAACTCAGAACAAAACAACATTCAGTGAGACATGTAAATAAGATCCATTACTTTGTCTCTCTTTGTGCCAGCGCAAAGGGGAGATTCTCTGCTCACAAAGCGCTCAGTTCAGTTCTGTACATTTATCTGTTCATTATAATAATGATATGAATGAATAACTTTTAAAATTTTGACAAAACAAAAAGTCACATTTTTTTATTGCTACAAATAGTTTTTTCAACAATAATAATGGCCCACATGAAGATTTTCTGGTCTGTCCTTATTGTGTCCTTATTGTCTATAGAAATGGTTTTAAAAGTAATTCAAAATGTGTTTACATTTAACAAAATATTCACACCTTACAAAAAATACTAATCCTCTTAAGTCAGTGTGATTGCAATCATCTTTTCTCAGTCACCGAGCCGCTCCAAAAATTTGCGTGATTAATTTTTTGTGTTACTTAGATTTTAATAACTTCAAAACAAACTACAAACATGCAACATAATTACTCCACAAATGTAGTTCATGTTTAATAATGACTTTTTATTTTTCATTTTGCTTTTGTTTTCCAGATCCACTAACAATTGTGAATTTCCACGCGCCACACTTGCACTTGTCCTCTGCCCTTGGTCAAGAGTCCACAGCCACACCTTATCAGCTATCACAACACATGCAGAGAGGGACGGAGCAGCTGTCGGAACCAGTCCCTGTACAGCGAAATGAGACTAACAACTCATACAGCTGTTATCATGCTCTGGTGAGACACTGGATGCGCTCTGTTCCCTTGGCTTGCCCTCTCCCATTGTCGCTGCCTGCCCCAACTTTCTCCCCTTACAGATAAACACATTTTCAAAACCGCTAACATTTCTCATGAATATTTTCAATCAAGTGAAAAGTTTTCAAATTAAAGAAAACATTTTCAGATAAGTAGTCTTTTGTTTGTTTGTTCTATCATCTGTGCCAATGCCAGTCCACCACAGGTCAATAACTCATTCATCAACCTGTTAATTTTCTATAGAGGTTTCCCATCCATCAATCCCTCAATAAACAAGATGTCCTCAACTTACAGTAGTGAGCCTTTTAAATCATCGCTAATGCAAGTCTGTTTCTCCACCTCAGACTTATCGAACTCTATCCACTCACTGCCATCTCATCCGGCACAGATTTTCCAAGCTCTATGTCGCTTCCACTTGTTGAGATTTGTGTGTTTGGAGATTTCGGGGCATGGCTTTGAGAACAATCCCGTTAATGTGTAAGCCGTATTTACCTGTGAGCTCACCTCCCTTTAGGCTATACCTCCTTAGTCTTCCCCCCCGTTTCATTCGCTCCAAGCTTTTATTCTGCCTCACAACTGCATCCAGCCTACTTTTAGCCCTTCGGTGTCCTCTCCTGTCCGTTCCCATTCAGGAAAACCTGACAAATGCACGTACCAGGGCCCCAAATGTGATTTATATACACCCCCTTTTTCATTTTTTTTATGTCACTAGCAGATTCCCAGCTTTGTCTAACCCGACAACAATTTTTCTTTTATTTTTAAGAATTACTCGATGAACCATGATCTCACGCGATCTCATCCACTTCTGATCTATAGAAATTGTTCTGCGTTGGTTCTTATGACTTTGTTCACAATAATAGGGTGTTTTTTTTTATTGTTTTCTTGTGAAGTGTCAAAATCCTGAAATAGATGCTCAAGATAAAACATTAAGAAAAAGGCAAAGGTAAAAATCCAACTCCGAGCAGAGACTGGGGTATTAAAGTTTAAACGGGCGTCTGAACAGGTGGGTATAGCACAGGCAGCTCAAGCTTCAGGGCGATCACCACAAGCAATGGTTTTCCTGGCTCTTCATCCCAATAGCACAAGCACACATGTAGAACAACCAGTGCTCCCTGTGGCCTCTTTTGTGTTCCGCTGCCCAAGGAGGAGAGGCACACTTTTACTCTGTTCAGTGGAGAAACAGCCCTGCTCAGGAGTCTGGGTAGAGCGGGGGATACTTCTAAATACTAAATTAATTACTTTAGTTATAAATATATTAGGTTTAAATATATTTCTTATCAAAAGCCAACATACCTGTGTAATGTAACTGAGACTTTGATGTTTATCTGATTCAAAATGTAATCTGATTAAACTAATTGCATTATGCTTAGGAAAGGGTGACAGATTTTAAATAGGAGAAGGCATAAAGGTAGGACTGTATCAAAATGAAATGACAAAATACGACGGTCCAGGCAGACAATGGAAAGACTTAATTGTTTTAAAAATGATGGTTGTTAATATCTTAAAATAGATTAACTTATTAAATTAAATTATACGTATGTTTCAAATTATGAATTTATTGTGATTTAGTAAGTACTTTTTATGTAAGTTCAGTGGCTTATTTTACCCGACAACAGTGTATCTTTATATTTAAGAATTATTGTATCATAATACAACTGTAGTATTAACACTAAATACAATTTTAACTGGTAAAATGAAAATATTTATTATTGTTCATCAACAAACTATTTACACTTGGTTAAATAAAGAACCAAAAGTAAGTGGACTTTTTATGGGGGTTAGGCAAAATAAGTGTCTCTTCATTTATTCAACAGACCGGTTTAGGTCTGTTGTAGTGCGTAATTTTTGAGTTACTCTTAAATCATTATAACATGATTAATGATTATGTCAATTACTACAATTACAAGCTAACTAAATTACTTTATCTAACTGACTATAAATTATATGACTGATATTCACTCTTTGTGATAAAGAGTATTTCAGTTAAAAATATTTATAGGCTTCATTCTGCGCACAGTGCGTTCAAAAGAAGGCACATTGACATCTTCAGTTAAACAATCAAGTGTTTTTTTATATGCCACTATGATTTTAATTCTGATAACCAGTGTTTAATAGACAAGAAGTTTCAAATAACTGGGAGAAAAAACATCCCAACAAAAGAGAAAGGGTTACGGTTTGCCGGACATGACTAAACAGATAGAAGCTCAACATTATGGGAGTGAAAAGTTGTATTTAGTTGGTTTAAAAGTCATTGCAATAATGCCTTACTATATTTAAAACAATAAATATATGCGGAAAACCAGTCAACAATATTAACTTACGTGCTGTGTCAAAATGAATCTAAACCTCTATACTTAGCATTTAAGTGTCCTTTCAGTAGGTCTGATTCTCTAACATGATATAGTACACAGTATATGTCTGTGCTCATCTGGGCCAGTCCCTTTTGGGCAGGTCCCTGGATCAGATTCCCAAAGACCCTCACTCGATACTGTGCAGAATATCTATTTGCAAGTTTAGGGGAAATAAATTAATATTTACACAGGAGGAAGTCATTAATTAAATGTTTACATCACTGTAATTAAGAGATATGTGCAACTAATTTATCATTTTACTTGTTTGAAGTATAATAAACGTGACTTGATGTGTTCCCTCTTCAGCTCTAGTATCTACATTTGAATCCTCATAAACTAGGCTTACATTTATCAGTTTTTTCATTGACTTCATGGGCTTTTAAAGATGACCTATTATGCAGGTATTTAGTATTACATTAGACCATGCATAGATTATTATTCTACATTTTGTTCATTGTAAACCACAATATTGATCCAAAATGGCTTGATTATATGAACAAGCCAACTGACGTAATAATAATAATAATGAAATGGATGGATAATGGAATTTCACTGTACCAAGCCGAGGATTTAAATGTATGTGTTTTATGGTTGAAAAATGGCTATTTGACATTTTGAAACCCTATTGTACAAGCTGGGGTTTGACTAATTTGAATAATGTTTGAATAATCGCAAATACAGAGCAGTGGGTGGAGACAGATGGCAGGTGAAAACAAATATTTTGTGCACTTGAGCTCTGAATGCAGGACAACACAGGATTATTCAAACATACATGATTTTTGATAATATATTCCCTTTAACCATGTTAAACTGTTTACGCCTCATGCTGCTTACTCAGAATTACTGAATGCTTCATGTATTTCCAAGTATTGTCTTCCATTCAGGTGTGAAAGCTTAGAGTTCCCATGTGCACCTATCACCTGTCCCCACCCACATCTCTCCACTTACTTCTCTGAAAAATGTCACAGGGTTAAAAAAAATGTTTCATAACCATTTTTCAAAAACAAATAAATTCCACTGCTTTAACAGGGACCTGTGGCTATGAAGAGGCAGTGTAGGTGACAGAGAATCAGCTCTGCACTGTTAAACAGAAAGTTAGTACATCAGTTAATATCATTAAGTTGTTTTAGATCAACGTTGCCATTTACAATGAACACACTGTAAAATAGTGTGAGTGCGCAAAAATATCGATATATCGTGATACTAAATTTGGTGATAAAGTATTGTTATCGTGTGCTGCTGTATCAATATATTGCCATGAGTATTTTTTGGTATCTTTTAGCTATTTTCTTTGTGACCGCGTGACAAATTTGTTGATTATTTAGTGGAAGGAAACGTTTTATGGAATATATTTGACATTTTCACTGTTTAGAGGATTAGAACAGATGCATTTCATATTAACTTGACAAATAGCATTTTAACAAGGAAATACTGATGCTAAAATGTATTTGTTTTTTTAAAAAACAACAATATATCACAGAGTATCATGTGAGATATCGATTTTCCTGTGTATTGTCACATATCGTGATAACATCGTATCGAATCGTGAGGGACTCTGTGGTTCCCAGCCCTACAGTGAAATTACAGTATGTGTGTGACAGGTTCTAATATCAGTAATGGCAAATATTCTGTCTTCTTGTCGTACGTAAGTTTTCTGGTGTATCCAGCTCCATGGCCACACCACTACCAGGCCAAGTTTCTGCGGAGAGGCAACCTCCGGTCTTAGTAAGAATTTGTGTTATTCAAAGTAAAAAAAAAAAATGTTTAGCCCTAAGCCATTTGTAATTGGATAAATGTGAGACAGAGGAGTTTAATGCTAAACTGTGGAACATTCTAGGCAAAACAATAACATTTTTATGGTGAGGCTTGGATATATTAAAATAATGTGGAGAGGTGACATACCCCCTACCACTACCTGAGAAGTTCTATAGTTAACCTGTAATATGTCAGAGTTTACCTGAACCTGAACACAATGGGAAAAGCAGTGTTTGAACCTCTTACCGTGTGAGCGTCTGAGCAGCGGACTCCACTGACAGTAAACTGATAATCCACTTGTCCAGGGCAGAGGGAGCAGCAGGAGCAGGGGCTGAGCTCTATGATCTGAGGATGACTCACCACCTTCAGTATCTGATCCCTCCTGGTGTTATCAAACATTACCAGGTCATCTGATGACAAGTTCACTTTTATGAACTTCATAAAACTACAGTCTAAGCAACATGGTATAATCATATTTAAAGGGATATTCAATACTTTGGTACATGTTAGAGTTGTATTTGGCTATCACTGTTTGAGGGGGAAAATGTCGTGGTAATTTTACTTAATTGTTGTGGTCAAGTTGTCATTGACTTGTGTTCAGGGACACGAATAGAACAAATTTTCCTTTTCGTAATGTTGTAGTTGACTGTCTACCATCAAATGTCACAAAATTTAAAAAGGGTTAAAAGGTTTTTAAAATACTTTGTACTTTATGTACTATAGGCCTATTTTGCTGAGTGCAAAGGTACCACCAGTGGTTTAATGCTTAATTCCAACTTTGGTAAGTCCCTTGATGTGATGTAATGTTACTCACTCCTCAGTATCTGGGCAGCACACCTTCACCTTTGCTTTACTCGCACTCGAGCCTTCGTGGACATGCCCCAACATGTTGGCCTAACGTTACAGACTGTCCCATTAATTGAGAGAAATAGGCCAACTAAAATCTTCCAGTTCAAAGCGCTACATTCATATTCACTCACTAACACTTCTGTCCTATTTCCACTTTAACAAATAAAAGCACATGTCCATATTTGTACTGACATAAGTAGGCTATTTGTTTAAGTCTGTCTAGTTTTAATGTTTTGCTGCCACCTAGTGTTTCTACGATGTTATGACACTGAAAGAGAACGTCTCACTCATAAATATACATTATAGGTGTTTGTTATATCCATTTTAATAGTGAGATTACCATAGTTATGTAGTTATGCTTGGAAGGAAAAACATAATTTCTTTTTACATATATTGTGAACTTTATTAACCATTTCCCATGACCACAGATGTACAATGTAATTAACTTTTATGCAAAGAGCAGATTAAATGTTTGTCTGTGGCATTAGGTCATAACATTACAGTTACAAGCAACTGAGTTTGCAGAAAAAAAACAGGCATATTTACAAGCGTTCCTTCTGTGACTTGTCCTTGACGTGTGCACAGATGTACTCCCACAATTTCTCTTTGACCAAATTGTACAGTACAAATTTAATCTAATCATTACAGTTTTAGGAATGACATTTTGGTTTAACAATCATAAAAACAAATCAGTCTAAAATGCAAGGGCCTAAAGTGAGAATCTGGAGAATTCAAAGTGGTACTATTATAGTCTTTGTGCCTTTAATAGTTATGGACATTGCCCTGAAAAACATTGGAATTTAATAATTTAGTACAATAATATCATTACAGCTGTACACTGTCCAGCACACAGGCATCTACTACAGGCCCTTAACTATAGAAAAGTACCACACAATTTCCTACGTCCAGCAATATGTCAGGGGCAGAAAAATCAACACGCATTTTAGTTGATACTGATGCAGGAGAGTGAAGATGTAAAGACAAAAACATTTGGTCTTTTGTGAATCCATCTTTCCTGTTTGACTTTTAAAACAAGGCAGAGGTGTTTGCAGAGGCCAGGAGATGTATGGTCAGAGAGATCAGTCTAAACTTACTCCACCAAGCTCCACCAGCCCCATTCATGTGTCCATGTTCCACTCTCCCAGACTGACTCTGACTCTCTGTGCGGAGCAGTTTACTTAGATACTTTCTTCATCCTCTCATCTAGTGCTGCAAAGTTCTCCTCAATAGCAACTAGGTTTTCCTTCATTGTCTGTTGAACCTAGAGCAGAGCAGACCACAAACACAATGAGACTTGACCAAAAAAGAGTCATAGACAGACAATATAACTCAAACAACTTCTGATATTTCCATTTATTAAAAAGTTTATAAAAATGTATACATATTTCTGTAAGATATGCAGTTGTTGATGCATTTTAAATAGTTAATCTTTTTTGTGCCTGTTTACCTGTGTGAGCAAAGTGTTGTTATCTTTTAGTGTACTGTTGATCATCTGCTGAGTGGTATCCAGGTGGGTCAGCAGCTGCCCAAACTGCATGGCTGTGAAATAGAAGAAAAATAACTTTATTTGAGGAAGTAATTTTAATTCATTTACTTAATTCCATCACTATAGCAACCCAGTGGTCTGCTCATTCACGCAGTTCAGCTGTGCACATGTTTGTACGTGCATGACATTCAAGATAAGAGGGGAGTTTTTAATTAAAAGTACTACATGAACTGTAATTCAATATTTCTCATTTGTTTCATATAAGTACAAGTGTCAGTCAAGTCATCTGTTTAGGTATATATTCATAGAAAGGTAAAAGAGATAATCCCTTTAAAATCAATACTTGGAGACGAATGAAAAACTGCTTTTTGTTCCAGGGATGTAAAACTAGCTGAACCTCTTCCAACTTCCAAATTATCAAAATGATCTTGCAAATCCATAGTTTTTCTTTCATGTGCTCAAAAAAAAAAAGATCATGATAAAGATATGAGATATACTTCTTTACCAAGGAGATTTAGTCTAATTATATTACCATTTCAATCTCCTTTTCAGTGATTTCTTGCCCTCTATGCTACAATAACACGGTTTAGGCTAATTCTATTATCCATTTGAATCCAATTTAGTGGAGTTTAATCCTTGTCGCCTTTGTAGATGGTTGTGTCACAGTGCAGATACAGCCTGACATGAGTCTCATTCAAATGCACAGTATTGTACGCTGCTCCCTCCCTCTTTAACCCACATGCAGAACAATTGTCCTTGAACTCTCATGGGTGTCACTTCTACCATATTTATTCAAGATTTTCTCTATTCCCTGGCGCTAAAGTACAGAGTGAGCAAAACTATCGGCAAAGGTTATGAGTAGCTACAGTTACTGTGGATAGCACGATATTGTCATTTTTAATTGTTTTTGGCATTAGGTTTTAGAGTAATAAAAAGTTAGCACTGTCGCCATAGAAATTAGCAATTAAAAATGAAATTATGGCGAGTATAACCAGGAAGCTGAAATCAATTAACAAGCAACTATTTTACGATTTTGTGGGCAAATGTTGCATTCAAAGAGTATTGAACAAAACGCTATAAACTGGAAGCTTCATAAACATCGACTAGTACTAAGTCCCTTTTGATTATTTATTCATAGTCCTAAAAATGTTGAAATGAATCATCAAATATGATCCCTTTAAAAGCTTTTAGCCTTTCAGATGCCCCATGTTCAAATTGTCCCATTAATGAATGCACGCTCATTAGTAACAGATAGGTAGGTATTATAACAGAACAAAACTGGACTTGCTTTAAACTAGTCCACGTATAGTTACCTTGTTCATGGAGCTCTTTGAGAGAGATCAGCCTCTCCACCACCTGAGGTACAGACGTGGACACAGCATCCCATTTCTGCACCAACTCATACAACTGCGTGACCTGAGAAACAAAGCAAACAAATTGTCTCTTCAGTCACACATTACCATAGAAAAAATAATAATAATAAAATCAAACGTGACACTGAATAGGGGGCAAAGTTGAGACAATTACTCAGTTGTGGTAACCCTTGTAGTAAAACCAAGATTTGATGAATAGCTGAATGTTTGAAGTACTATAATCTAAAACATCAAATACACAGTCCAATGAACTACTAGACAATGATTCGACAAAACATGACTAACCTTGTTTTGAGTTTCGGCATCTTCAATAGCTGCTTTGTGCTTCGCGATCTCATTCATCTTTCCAAGGACGCTCTACAAATCAATGACAAACTTATTTTACACCTATCATTTGAAAAGGATCATTTCGAAAAGGGACTTAAATGAGCAACAATGATTCAACTGCCTTTTAAAATGAGACTATAAAAACTGAATGTATTACCTGCAGTCTAGCCTCTACTTGATCCAAAGTAGCAGAGTCTAGAGCGCTGACTCTTGCTTGGAGCAGCTCTATGGTGTCCTGATTCATATAAAACACACTCAAATCAATATCTTTAGCATAATAGTTTTTATAGTGTGACAAGAGACAATGTTATCTTTGAAGTGTGACCCAGTTACTGTGTTGCACCTCAATATGTATGAATTCATGAATGCTAAAGCAGTCTATATACACTACAGATGTAAAATATTATACTCAAGTACCATCAAACTCCCTCCTTGTACTCCAGCACTCAACGGCCCCTGCAACACAAAACAAAATAGAATAGAGAAAAGGTGACGAGACACCAAGCCTGTCACGGTAACAAAATTTGAAGCATATGTTGCTACAGAGATATACGGCGATAACAATAATATTGAAACTACTTGATGCCACTGACACAAAGCAGGATAATCCCAGTAAACACATTTTTAAATAAACACTATCATTAAAAGACACGAGCTGCTACTGATAAATATTGAGCCCCAAAGTATATTGTTCCAGCTTTCATATATTGAACGATAAGTCAAGATAGTAATTATCGTGACAGATTTACAAGACTCTAAAGCATAGCATTTCTGCTGAACAAAGACCATAATACAAAATGCATGGTTATTTGAAGGTGGTGTGTACTGCTGGTCTCATACCGGTTTGTCTGATCCCGGGCCAACTGCCGTCTCCAGCTCTGCCAGACGCTTCTCCAATTCTGCCATCTATGAAGACAAATTGATGTCAGAGGAGGCTGTTAATGGGAGGGGAAGGGGATACCAGAAGCATTTATTATATCCACAAACTGTGTGATTAAAGGGCCCATGTTACACTATTTTCTGATCTATGTTATAATGTTATTTCTTCATCACAAACATACATTTTGTTTCGTTTCATTCATACAGATCTTGCATGTTTAGGCTGAGTTCTTCTCTCAAACAGAAAGCACTCTTTGTTCCACCTTGTGATGTCTGGTGGTAATACACAAAGTGTTCCACTGTGTTTTTAAATTCCATACCTCTTCATTTGGATCATTTCAGCCTTGGTATTGAAAAACTACAACTTCACATCACAAGGTGGAACAGAGCATTTTGAGCTTTGGAGATGTAGAGACCAATAATAAACACTACTCAAACATGTGTTAATGAAACAAAACACAACTCCAGATATGATTCTGAGGAGCTAACAGCATTCTAACACGGTTTAAAGATCACAAGAGGCAATTTTGACTAATATAAGACCCTTAAACATGCTTAAATGTCTTTACTCAGGCTTAGTCAGTGATAGCAGAATTACCCAATAATGATAACTGCCTTTGTTTTATTGTGTAATTAAAATGTTTTGCTCCATTTTTATAGATCAGCAAGATATTTAAAAACAGAATGGGTAGCTCATCCCATCTCATTTCCATGTTGATTCTGGGCATTATCACTAAACTGCCTACGCCTGCTGTTTTCCACTTCACCTTGGCAGCGTTGTTGAATTTCTCCTGCTCCGGCCGGCTGTGCAGCTCATACAGGACCACTCCATCTGGGCCCTTTGCCGACGCAGTGGGCTTCCCGTCTTCCGTGGCACTGACACGACTGCCCTTGGCCACCTCCAGCTGAGTGAGCAGACGCCTGGGAACAAAGGAAATGGAGACACAAAAGGATTTTACCGTATATTCAGTAATGTCATCAGAGCCAGTCTATGCCCTGACTTCTCCTGTTCTCTTGCTTTATTCACTAAAGGCTTGGTTGTAAACAATGTCAAGGTGAGCCTGGCATCTTTGAAATGTCTGTGGATGAAATTTTCAGCCTTTTTTGGCAGTTTTACATGGCAGTATGTTTTTACTCAACCCGTTGGATGACTTCATGTGAATTGAGTCCAATCTTCTGTTCACCAAGTATTACAACAGTACCATCATGTGCCTTTGTGATGTGTAGTGTAGACCTGTCACAGTAATTACTATATCAACTTACTATTCAATATATGAAAGCTGGAACGATATACATTTTTAGATCAATAGTTATTGTCTCTTTATAGAGATTTTTGTTATTTTAGTTGTAATACGTTAAGATTTGAGCTGTAGAGGGTTAAATAAGTAACTGCTATTTGATGGTTGCAGCTCACGCCTTTTAATGATACTGTCTACTTAAAAATGGCTTACGGGGATAATCCTGCTTTATTGTTATTGTAGGCATAAAGTACTTTCAGTAATATCGTTATATATGTCAGTAGCAATAGACCTTTTTTTTTTTTAATCTGTAATTGTGACAGGCCTAGTGTAGGGCAAAATGTACACACTTTCCTTATGGGTTAAATGTTTTATTTTGAGATCTCAATCTTTAGCTGCAAATGTTTGTCTATAACGTTGTCACTCTGCCTGAAGGAGTAGATTTTAAATGTTTGTTGGGATTGCCTTTGTTTTCACAGCTCACCTTGCCAGCGCTCCATCTGGATCAGTGAGGTTGATGTGTGCCTGTGGTCCCAGAAGTGTATCGAGGTGAGCAGACACCAGCTGCTGTTTGAGCTGAGATGCCTGCTGAGCCAGGACCACTGGGGTGAGGCGCTCCTCTGCATTGGTTTCCTTTGTGGCCGACTAAGAAAAACAAATTAAAACGTGTTTTTATTGATACTTTTTAGGTGCTTCTATCTAATACCTTCTGGGGCTACACTGTTAAAAATTTTACTAACAACTTTGCACAAGAAAACACAATTAAGAGACTAGACTGAATATTTACTGTGTACTCACATAGACCATTTGTTTTCTGGTATGAAGTAAAAACTGACAAATATTCAAACAGAACAAACTGTTCTCAACAAAGGGCAACTTCTTTGACAAGGTTATTTTGAACTGAGCATAAAATGAATGACTTTATTGTTTCAGCATCCTTGATTGACATAAAACATTTCAAGTACATGCATTTTGATGAGCCCACCTGGATGGTGTCCACCTCTTTGGTCAGCTCCTGGATCTCATTGACCAGACGCAGATATTTCTGCTGGGGCGTCTCCTTGATCCCACTACCTTCTCCAAGCTAAACAAAGGAAAGAAGACTGTTAAAAAATAATGAAATTTCACACTAGTACAAGTTTCAATGTTTTTTTATGACTTAATTTCCATTTTAAAAAATGAACATATGGTATAGTTAAAGGGTAAAGAGGTAAAGCACAGTACAACTCAAAATACTTACAATTTCAAACTCTCCAGACTCATAACCCACTCGTCTGCTTTTACTTATTCTGTCTGAAAAGTCTGATTAGAAAAATGTCAAGAGATTACAAGAAATGTATGTACATAACTAAACATGCAACTATTTAAAATACATCAAAGGCTATTAGAAGAAATGAACCACACATACAGTATAATAAAGGATCATACATGTATTATGTAAAAGGTCAACTCTGCACATAGTCGCACAATTTAATAAATAGAACTGACCGAGCCCTTTGGTGCTGACATGCTTGTCTTTTTAAACTTGTCATAGGCTGCGTTGGGATTGACCACAATCCTCTCAACACTGTCACTGCAGAGCTCCTCCTGTGGGTAAACAGAAACAGAGATAGTACAGTACTAAAGGTAGGCTGGTATTCAATGTTGGTCAATTTATTTATTTTGTGCCCCAAACTTTTCAGACCCAAAGTAAAATTGACAAATGGCAAAACCTTACAGGAAATCAAATGTGTAATCATTTGGCCACACATGATTCACTATTACTCTTTTGGTATTATTTTCATAATTACACTTTCAAATAATCAAAAAAGCAAGCTTAATTTCCTATTTCAACAGAGACTATAGTTTGTAATATACAATAAATTGATTAATAATTACTGATTTTATATATATATATATTTATTTATTTTTTTAGCATAAAATAAATGAGATGCTTTGTTTAATAGTAATATTTTACTATTACATGGGTCCAAGGGCTGTGCAATTTTTCTTCAAAACTTTCACCCTTTTTCTTGCCAAAATATACATTGCCCAGCCCTTACTGCCCATTATTTATTACTTTCTACGGGAATTAGTTTCCAAGAAGTGACATGCACTACCGATTGATCAGTCTTGATAGTGATCAATGGAGTAGATTAAAATACCAACACAGATGACACACGTAAACAGAACAAACACACCAACAAAGTAACACAGATGGGTGGGTGGGGTTGGAAGAGGAGTTAGGCTCTTACCAGCTCCTTGGGTTTCCAAAGAGTTAAAGAAAGTAACGCGAGAGGATAGGGAGAGAAGAGTTGGGAGAGAAGAGTTGGGGGAGAGAGAGAGACAACACAGATTAATGTGGTTATCACATGCCATGCACACAACTGAACAGTTGACCAGGGTCAGGGAAGAGTAAGAAAGAGAGCAGTGTTGAAGAGCGTCTATCCTGGAGACTTCAAACAGCTTATGGCTCTTTCTGTCTTCCCCTCTTCAGTAGAGGTGTCCTACCAACTGTACATAGTTACCTTCTCTGATATAATGCCATAAGAACATATGCAGGGGCCATAAATGTCTCACAGCATTATTTTTGACATGGAGTATTACTTAAATACATGATGGGGAATACAAGAGGAGAGGTTTAGATGAGTTAAACATGCTTCAAGAAATGGATTGTTCATGATTAAGTACAACTGTTGGAAAAAGAATACACTGATCATAAACTGTTCAGCCATAATTTGTTTCAAACATGCAGTTAAAGACACACATCTGATCTGATGAAAGCACAGGTCAAAAGATTTTTAAAATACAGCCTCTGGAAAGTGTACACTTTGGTCTTTTGTAAAATGTTACGGCCAAGTACAAAAACAATTAATTGTTTACAACTGGCAGCCACTTTGGCTTTGTCTTGATCATGTTATCTGCACACACTACAGAGGCATAAAAGGAAATCAAAAGCAGGAATTTAGTAGTTAACTTGTTAAAACTGTGGTTAGAACATGGTGAACAAGAAAGATAGAAAATAGTCTTCCATACAGTGTTACATGACTTGATAGCAAAAACAGTACTAATACACCTTTAAAATGTGCCCATAAGTAAATAAACACATAAAAAATCATTTTGTCAATACTGAGATAAGATGTTTAATTCTCATTACCAAAAGATTGTAAAATTGAAATTAGATTCAAAGGGACATGCAAAAAGCATGGTAGGAAGCTCACTGAGAGTAAACATCAGTCTTACTTGTACAAACTAGACTTCCAGGAGGGATGGGGAGAGTCAAAGCAAAGGCAAGGGGTTGGGAAGAACGAATGTGAAAACATGAAGGGAAAAGGCCAATTAGGTCCACAATAATCACTTATTGTTATAAAGAACACAGATTACTCGAGTAACTAATCTGTGCATAAAAACGTTTAAGTGTTTGTCCTCACACGAGGTGATATACTGAGTAGAAGTTAATTTAAACACATAAAAAACACCAAAAAGATTATAACTAGGCTTGAAATTGAATACAAATTTGCACTGTAATTATCAAAGTCTAATTAAGCAAGGTTAAACACGTACAATTGTTTTAGGTATTGGAGAAAGTATTTTAAGAGTTTTTTTTTTTTTTTTCTCCAGCAATAAGAATGAAATGGATGAATACGATTTGTGGCCCCGAGACTACAAAACTTAGTTACTAAACCAGAAGTGTAATTTTGCATGTTAATACCAGAGTAGTACACTACCAAAAGCATCGATCACATCAGCAGGTCTGGTTAGCTTAATGCTAATATGCTCTTTTCACAGCACCCATAGCAAAATAAAGGCACCCACTCACCGACTCAAACTGAGCCTGGTCATCTTCAGGTAGATCACCAGTTTCATAGACGTCTGGTTCATTGAAGGCCTATGGAAAATAATGTAAACAGGACATTGCACTGTTATAAACTGTCCACAGCCAAGTCATCACAGCCAACGCCCCGACCATTCAGCAGCCTCTAACTACATTCTAACCACATCTGTCCGTGATATATAGCAATACTTTAAACTACTGAATGTATCCTAATAACATGCATATTAGTTCAAGTCTGTGTAAACAAAATCCTAACACAAAGCTCTTCGATTAGCTCATTTTACGTTAGCAACAATAGCTTGAACAAGCTTAGGCTAATGCTGCAGACGGGCTATCAGAGTTAAAATCACTTACGATCCCCGGCAAATTAGCGTATTTTGGATCAGCCATGGTGGTAAATAAGATCCAGTAACAAAAGTATACTAGTCAGAAGTACGTGGGCTCTTGAAATGTGGGCTAAAGTGGTGGTAAATGTAGCAGTAAATGACCCCGGCGGCCAAGGCTGATGTGACAGGACAGACGGGTGCTTGGTTTACTCACAGGCGCATCTGGCCGGGCGGTGCTGTTAAAAGTTTATCAACGACAGAATGCATATATTTAAAACATAAACAAAGCAGAAGTACATCAGTATAATTATGTGCATCTGAATTGCATCTATCTCTATGTGCTTTATCCCAACTGACAACATGAATTTGTATTGTTTTGTTTTTGATTTTTATTTCCATAGAGGCAAAGGAGTGCATTTACACAAGACTATCCACAAGATGGCGCCAAGGTTCTGAGGAACAAGCAGAAAATTATCAGCTGTGAAGATTTGAGGTTTTCTGTCTTTTTGCTTTATTTATGCAGGACTTCCAAGAAAGAGGTTTTGCAGGCATACCTTGAACATCAGTGAAATAGCATCTCCAGTGGAATCCTCTATTTAGGATATAGCAAATGTCAAAGGCTTATGATATGCAAATATCATATATAGTGCAATTCAATTCAATTCAATTTAATCTTTATTAAGAACACGTGATATCTGGTTCATAGTATTTAAAAAAAAAGACAAGACAAGTGCATATTTGTGTTGAGGAAAGTTTAGTCAAGTCATATTGCTGGAAGTTGTAGATGGAAGCTGCATAATGGAACAAAATAATTAAATTCCAGTGTTTTGTCTAAACATGTCTACAACTCAATGACAACTCTATAATGGGCATAGATACTGCATTACTTTAAGAATTTAGACGGATTAGTTTTTATAATTTTAGTAAACCAAAGGTGAATTTTGAAACTTTACTATATGAACAATATATTTACTGTACAATTTCAATTTCACAGAAGGAACACTTAAAAATGTCTGTTGTTTTTTTCTGCAGTCTAAGTCAGTTGTAACTAAAGTCGTGACGAAAGCCTCGTCTTTGCAGGTTAATTACGTTGTAGGCTTTCATCCGTGGCAACTGGAAATGGTTAATACAATTCACAAAATAAAATTAAATTAAATAACATAAAATAATATAACATAAAATAAATAAATAAATGAATAAATGTTCTTTCTTCCAAGTATAACTGTAATGTTGAACTGTCCTTATTCACTATTAAAAAGGATACTACAACCAACTGTGGTGATGAAGACCTGTGCACTGAGCATGTCCATTGTGCTCCCCTCTAATGTCGTAACATTGTAGAAACACAGGGTGGCAGCAAATCATAACAAAACAAAATAGACACACTTGAATAAGGTTACTTTTGTTCAAGAAATGCATTCTGTCGCTGTCATATTTGTTCTGACATTTGTTAATGAGTGAGTATGAATGTAAAGCTTTGAAGTGGAAGATTTTAGTCGGTCAGTTTCTCTCAGTTGCAGGGAGTTTTTGTGCAGGAGGCCAGGAGGATCATATAAATAGGCCTATACAGTCTATTCACGAAAACTTGAGTGCAAATAAGACAAAAGTGAAGCATTGTTGCGTTTATGAGTATGCGTAGTCTGGATCCCAGTCAAATGTACTATGTCTTCCTCAAAAATGTCTGTTGCGCAAGCAGAACTAGCACAAATAATGAGCAGAGCATGTGGTTTGGCTCTCCGCGCGGTCTCTCTCCGTGCCATCGGTCCTTGTGCACGGCGCGGTGCTGATGAGGGACGATTTTAGTCACTACTCCGGCTGACCCCGCCCCCAGTGAGAGAGGCAGCCGGAGAGAGGATGGCAGTGATGCAAGAGGCATGCTTGTGAATGCCTGCAGCCCATTCAGACAGCAGCCGCCACGACCAGCACCTGCTTCGGCATCACTTTGGCTGGTTGTAGGATAACACCTTGAAGAACTTTTTAAATTGGACTGTTTTTGCTTTGCTTTTTGTGCTTTTCCAATTGACTTGTTAAACTCAAATACCTACACCTCGTACCAGTCTCGCCCTAAAAAGCATGTGGCTGTACCCGGAGGTTTAAGGCTGGGTCCACTGTTTTTACGAAGCACCCGTGCACTACGCATTCAGTTTTTTGCAATTTATCACTGGGAATCATATTTTTACTTCACAATGGCTGATGGAAATGCTGAATGTAATATCAAGGTTTTGTGTCGCTTTCGTCCATTGAATCAATCCGAAATTATCCGTGGAGACAAGTTTATTCCAATATTTCAAGGAGAAGACACTGTCATCTTTGGGGTAAGAAGCCTTTTTTTTTTTTTTTTTACATATTCTGCGTGAACGTTCACCTCTGACTATTTTACTACTCGACAAATGACTTAAATGTGCTCTCTCTGTGTAATGCCATTATTGCCAAAGCCTACACAGTAAGACCTCTCCAAATCAGACACATGAGTGTTTCACAATGGCACAAGTACTTAAACAGCTCATCATTGACAACCATTATTATGATTTTTTTTCTTTCAATTCTGTAATTCCCACAAGCCTGCAGCCTCTGTGCCAGCAAGCTCACCACCCTCTCAGCTTTTCACATCTTCACTTGATTTTTTGTTTTGTTTTTGGTGCTCATTTTCTCTGCTGATGTGATGTGAACTCAGCCTGTTATCATACGTGGGCTTGATTGATGTTGTTGATAGATGTTGCAGTGAGCCTGTAACGCAGTGAAATTAGTTTTTGCAAATATAATGAGATCCATGATTATCTCTATGGGGTGTTTCTAGCCAGTGCCCACTGAATGGCATTTTGTATTTTCTGTTTTGTACAAAGTAAATTGCTGGAGAATGGCCCAGTCGTCAGTCAGCAGGTATACACACCTGGGGCTCTACATTTACACCAAAACTGTGAACCCTTATTGCTCATGACATTTTAGTCAAAGCACTTGCCCAGAGCACCTCGACTGGACTGGACTGGTCTGAATGCAAATGCTCCCCTTAATTAGTTATAAGAACCGTGGGGCCAATACAGACAGTAATACCAATAAGAAGGAAGAATGTTAGGGAGGTGTACTACCATTTGGCCTGGGGCTTAGGCTTGGACCGATGATAAAGACAGCAGCTGAGAAGTCCCCTTGGCTCATTTAGTCACACACCTTGAAATGCATCACAGCCCTGTGGGAGCTGCCCCTTGTGGCTGTCCAGAATATCTGCGTTTGTGTAGCAGCTGGATGTTTCCAATGCTTTGACACACACAACTCAATTTGCATATCACGTTTCTGCATCAACATTTAAAGGTCATATTTTACACAAAATTGACTCTTGCTAGCTTTAAACCATGTTATAATGTCCTAACCTCCCTGTTTCTTTCACACATTTTTACATTATGCTTTAATATTAGTGTGTCTAAAAATCTCCAAAATTCAAAATGCTCTGTTCCACCTTGTGATGTCATGAAGTGGTAGTTTTCAAGTTAATAGCTACCTTTACCTTTAGTTCAGTAGAGATTGGGAATTCCAAAATCATCCAAATGATTCTAGTGAAGGTGTATGGAGTTTAAACAGACTGTGGAGCACTTCCTGTGTTATCACATGGCATCACAAGGTGGAAAAGAGTGTTTTCCATTTCAGAGAAGAACTCTACATATGAAGAACTCTAATTATGCCATATAATTTTGTGTTATAACATGTGTGAATGAAACAAAAACAACTCCGGGTACAATATTATAACGCAGGTCAGGAAATAGCATTATATTTAAATTTGCTCCGTGGTTATGTGGGTTTTTTCGGAAGGTTCAATGCGTGTCCTAAAAAGAAGCACGAGAGATGGAGAATCCGAGAGAACAGGCCACTTTATTTCGTCATTTTCCATTGAGAGGATTCAAGTTGATTACCATGTACAACTGCCACCCCGGACGACACCTCTTCCAACTCAAACTCAGGGGTAGATTTATACTACATCTTGACAAAACATTAACTTGTTGATTTAGCATAAACAGCAAGAAAATGAACAATACTGCTGACCCAGTACACCTTATCATGGGTGGGAACATGCCACGGGGACCACATATGTCAGTTTTGCTGCTCCGTGGCACTCAAAGTCCAGAAAAACATGTTCTTTATGGCACTCCAAGTGCAAGAAAAACATGTTATATAGACCTATATGTCATACGTGTTTTCCATCCTGTTGTCATTTCAAAGTCCATAATATTAGGTGAATTAGCATGGCCAACACATAATTTCCCACAGTTAGCACACCTGTTTGAGGCTCAAGGCAAAAGCCCCTTTCCCTTCCGTCCACTTCAAGCAGCATTTATTAATCTAGTGCTTTGCAATCTTTCTCAGTCGCAACCCCCATAATAACAACCAGCATTTACAAGTCGTGACCTCCAAACTCAAAGTAGGTTCCTGCAAAAAGTAGAATTATGATAAATAAGAATAAACATGGTCAAACACAAAAATGCTGACAGTGACAATGACAGTGAAGACACGGACAACATTTGTGTTTGACCATGTTCATTTGTTACACGACATAGCGATATGGCACCTGTTATAGGAGCGTCTGGAACAGCGAACAGATCAAGTGTTTGAGCGCGTTCATGCGCTGCAGTAAAGCGCAACGTTTGTTACTTCAAACCAGGTCTTGATGGGAACATGTTCGGGATACATTTGGATTATTTTTCAATGGAGAAATAATACGCCACGATAAAGAAGGTTTAACGCGACAATACAGCTCCGGCAGTTTTGCGTCTCTCTATGGGAGTGAATGGAAGCGAGAGGAGTTACGCTGATCGCCAGACAATCCGGACAGGGGACTCAGCGCTGCGCAGCATCCGGCGTCAATGGGTTAACCAATCGCTGCTATTTGGTCGTGACATATGTAATGCGCTGCTAACGGGGCTAAATGGTATATTACGCTTTTCCCAAATCCTGTAAGGAAGAAGGGCAATAACGTCTTTCTCCTTGATAAAATTGACCAAACATTCTATTTGTTTCGACTTTAAATCCTCGATTTCTTGTTTTGTTGCCAGGAATGTATGGCTCTTCACTGATTGG